AAGATCCTTGTGTTCCAGTATTTTATCCAAGTGAAACATTAATACTTACCCACAGGTTAACAATTAAGCCTCATTTTTATTATATTTGGAATGGGACAAGCCCAATCTCTTAATTAAGCCTAAACATGAGCTGTACAACTTAAACCGTGTGGCAGGAATTGTGATGTCCGTCCTATTGGATCATGGGCGGGGCGTGCAGCATGTCTATGGAATGGGAAAACAATAACAAATTCATAGAGGCAATTATTATTTCTGTGGCAAGTACAGTAGAGGAGATAAAACCAAAAGTTTGTATGTGGCTTGTTGTTTTCTGGAACAAAGGAGGTGGTCACTTAGTATCCCTATTGCTCCACCCCTGGGTGAGGCGTGGCAATTCACAGGGTATATCTCCTGTGATCCTGAAGGGTGTTTGTGTACTTGCTTGGGGCCAAGATCTAATTTTGAGTGAGTCACCATCTTTCCTTGCCAGAGACCCCCTGGACAGAAGTTGTTCTTTGAAAACCTAAGTGAGTAATTAGGACTTCTGTATTTTATCCTTTTTGTTTTTATCTGTTGTTGGTGTAAATAATTGTTTATCATATATTGTTATATGCACTATGACTATCTTTTGCTCATAATAAACATTCATTTATTAAGTTCTGCCTTTGTCTGGTTAAGAATCACGTTACCTGAAGAGACTAGTTAGTATTTTCGTAATTCCTTAAATATTGTATTAAGTAATATTTGGTGGGTTTTATAGTTGATTTACCTGGGGAACCAAGGCACCCCATTTATAAATTGTCTTGGTGGTGGCAGTGTTGAAATAGTAATAGTTATATTATTATGTTTAAGTGTGGGTGGTGGTAAAAGGGAGATTTTGTCATTATTTCCAGTCTAGTGCAGACAAATGCTGTACTTTAACCCTTTCACCACCACAATTACGTCACGCGCACTCTTGGAGTAGGGTGCGTTCGTGACACTCTGATTGGCTGGATTTCAAGCTAACCCATCAGATTGCTCTGTGTCATTTTACACAGCTTGGGGAAATTCCAAAGAACTCTCCCACGCTGTGTAAAATGACACAGAGCACTCTGATTGGCTGGATTTCAAGCGAACCAATCAGAGTGGTCTGTGTCATTTTACACAGCGTGGGAAAATTCCAAAGAACTTTCCCACGCTGTGTAAAATGACACAGACCACTCTGGTTGGCTTAAACCAACTAATCAGAGTGCTCTGAGCCTAATTGCAGGGCAGGGCAATGCTTGCCGCGCCCTGCAGATCTCAGTCTGCGCGAAGCCCTCTATGGGTAAAAATTGAATTTTTTTTGCGCTCGTTTTTTTTTTTTTTTTCAAGTGCGTCGGTTATCATGGATTTTTATTTGGCCTTTTTTGGGGTTGAAAAAATAATATTTTAGAAGAAAGAAGACACCAAATGGTAAGTTTATTATTATTTTTTAAAGGTATTTAGATAAGGGTCCCCCCTCATTATTTTTAGGATGAGGGGGTAGGTAGGGGTTATTTTTTGGGGGGAGGGAGGTGACGGGGGTTAAATTTTTATTTAAGGCCCCCACCCCTGGGTCCCCCCCTTATTCTAATTTAGGGCCCTCACCCACCGCTCAGGGGTGGGGACCAGGGGGGAGGACAATAGGTCCCCCACTCACCGCTCAGGGGTGGGGGCCAGGGGGAGGACATTAGGTCCCCCCCAATTTTAATTTAGGGCCCCCACCCACCGCTCATGGGTGGGAGCCAGGAGGGAGGACATTAGGTCCCCCCTTATGCTAATTTTAATTTAGGGCCACCACCCACCCCTCAAGGGTGGGGGCTGGGGGAGGACAGTAGGTTCCCCCCCTCATTGTTATTTAGGGCCCCCACCAACCATGCAGGGGTGGGGGCCAGGAGGGAGGACAGTATGTCCCCCCATTGTTAATTAGGGCCCCCACCCACTGTGCAGGGGTGAGGGCCGAGGGGGGAGGACAGTAGGTCCCCCATTGTTATTTAGGGCCCCCATCTGCCGCTCAGGGGTGGTGGCCGGGGGAGGACAATAGGTCCCCCTCCTTATTTTACTTTAGGGCCCCCACCCGCTGTTCAGGGGTGGGGGCACTAGGTTTTGTTTATTTGTTTTTTTACAGTGAACAGCCACTAGCTGCTCACTGTTTACTCGACATGCCCCTACTCGCGGTATCTTTACTTAGTATTAGTAAGTATGGCTGAAAGACCAATTTAGATCTTTCAGCCTTTTGGTAGATAGCTCCCTAATACCGTGGGAATTAGGGAGTTATCTACTAAGTGGCTGTTTATTTTATGTTATTTTAAGATATTTTAAGTAATTTCCCTATCCACATTTGTTTGCAGGGCACTTGTCCTACTCTTACCCCCATTTTACTTCCTTTTGCAGCCCTCTAGCACTTTCCAGGACTTTTTAGAGGCATTTTAGTGCCCAAACGTTCGGGTCCCCATTGACTTCAGTGGGGTTTGGGGTCAAGTTCGAGCCGAACTCAAACTTTTGACGAAGTTCGGCCGAACTTGGCGAACCCGAACTTCCAGGTGTCCGCTCAACTCTAATTATGATGAATTCAAAAGGAAAATGCAAAATAAAATTGATAGATTTTCACTTTTGACATTAGGATTTCAGTTCAACACAATTTGATGTTTAGCAAATAATTCTTAATGTTTACACTATTATACATATTTAAAATGTTATTAAACAAAACAGAATAGTGGAAAAGGGGGCACAGTGTCGTTAAAACTTAATATGACCACATAAGTCACAGATGTTACTTTACCGAGAGGGTAGTGGATGCATGAAATAGCATTCCAGCTGAAGTGGTAGATGTTAACAAAGTAAAGGAGTTTAAGCATGCGTGGGATAGGCATAAGGCTATCCTAACTATAAGATAAGGACAGGGACTGATTAAAGTATTTAGAAAATTGGGCAGACTAGATGGGCGAATGGTTCTTATCTGCCGTCACATTCTATGTTTCCATGTAACACAAGAGGTACATCTATAAATCATCTTCTGCAGCAGTGTAACAATAAAAAAGAACTAGTATATTAAGAATTTTAAAGAAATTTTTTTTATTTCTTATGGCATGGTGAATCAAGTAATGACTTCTTGTTCCGTTCTTAGTGTTTTAGATTTTGACAATTTAATAGTTAGATTAATGGTTGGAGTAGAAATTGTAGCCCTATTAGTCCAGTGATGCAGATCTAAAATAACAGATGAAGTTAGAATCGTCTCATACCTATTTTATTGGACTAACAGGATTTCAAAATGACAAGCTTTTGGGAGACATCTTCATTTTTCATGTCTAAAGTTAAAATGAAGGATCTCCCAAAAGCTTGTTTAAGAGCTGTGTTAGTCTCCCCCATTGTTCATAGAATAGAAGAATGTTATATATACAGTTCGTGGAGAACATATACAAACATGTGAGTGTTATTTAGTTAGAAGAAGGTAATTAATTACATGTCTGTATGCAATATAAAGTCAAGCTGTGAAATTGCCTCCATGATTATCATAAGATAAATGTGTCAGCGAATATGGGATTTCATTATGAGACTGACCTGCATATCACAATATAAAAAAATGGTACAGGCATTCCCTGAATACACCAATATACAGAAAAGAGCCAGGATCAGTTCCATTCTCTTTCCTATCCACATGTGTGGGGAATGATAAATTGGAAACTGGGCCTTGGACCACTACTATAAACTCAGTTAAAATATTCTTCAACTTCCTTACACACTGTGTGGCACCATATGTGGTGCCATTCCTTATGGACCTATTGTAAATGAGGATGTTTTCACTGAACTTTTTTGTGGTTTTATGAAGGATGTTTAATATTAGTTTACATGTTGATTCAAATAAAATAGTTTATTTTCTATTCCTTTTTCTTTACTTTTTATTACAAGCTTGGAAAAACATCCTAAATGCCCACATATTTTGCAAGATATTAGAATTGTATTGTTTTAAAATTGTGTGTCTTAAAGTTCAAGGTGAATTGGTATCCTGGATGTACAGTACCTGAGGGTTAGGATGACACAACTGATGCACAGGGTAATTTGTCAGCCTTTTATGACTCTTCACCTTTTGGAAAGTTTACACATTCATGGTCTTCCAGGGTGCTGTGTTTATTAATATGGATCAGGAGAATAATCAGGAAACTTATAAGCCTAATCATTCAATATATATCCACATCATGCGAAGGGAAGATGTTGCACTTGGAATATGTTAACACAAACCCTCACACAAAATGAGGATACAGAAGGAGCAAGCTACATTGCATAAGTTATATTGTTTTCATGCAATTCAAGTAAATGTTTTCTAACTTTAGATTGATTTAGGTTATTAACTATGTTACATAGCACATGAATTAAATTAACATCCAATATAGTCGCATTGAATATATGCTTAAGTAATTAGTAAAACTAATACAGTCCTGGGGGGCGGGGCCGGATCGCCGAGCTGGACGGTCGCAAGGGTGATCAGCTCCGGCAAATCCCTCTACTTTAAGCCTATAAAGCTACGAATTTCAGCCTGAAAGCTAACCGACAGCTCTGGTCCTTGGCCCAAAGGAGGCACTGTATCCAGGGAGAGGCTGGCTCCTTGAGCTTCAGTTCCCTGGAGGAGGAATCTTTGAAACCCCAGATGTGGCCTACTCCGGCGGTGAGTGGGGCGGATGGCCGCTGCTCCACTATGCCGCCCAACGATGCCTGACCTGAAGGCCTGGAGCAGAGTGGATCTGGCCCTGTTCCCCCCCCTCTGGGACCCCGACCGCTGCAGTCAATCAATCGCTACAATCAGGGCCCAAGAACAAGACCATCCTGATCAGTGACCCCGGCACCTCGCCTAAAATGGCGGATGCCATGCGCGCAGAAGACAGAGAAAAGGAATACTCTTCCCTCAAGCTACAGCCTGACAGCACAGACCTTGGACAGAAACTCACTTGCAATGCCTAGACAGGCCAGAAGCCGGCAAAGGGAGCACAACGAGCCAACACTCATCCCACGGAACAGGCAAGCGACTGAGAAACCCTACCTTTCAGCCGACTGGTCTCCACTGTAACGAGCCGCACACCTCTGCCGCAAAGCCGGACATCCTTCCCCAGCATGCCATGAAAGAGCCGCGATGAACACCTGACAGCCGGCATGCAGCAGTGGCTGGAGAGGCGCACGGAGGACACCCCCGAATAGAGACTCACATGGATGTCTTGCCTGAGTGTCCCGCTGAACTACACCTGCATACTATGGGCACTACACAGGCAAGATCCAGCACCCATGATGAACTGACCACAGGCCCCCGAAATGACCATGTAACTTCCCACTGCAAAGTAGCAGCTCTGTCCTTAAATTTTTTACTCCCACTAGCCACTTGACAGGATGGAATGGTGGCCTGGTGCCATTAGTATTAAATCATAATGTGGCTGCAAAAAGTTAGACACCTGCAGGATATTGTGCCCTTAGTTTAACTCAGCTAGACCGGTGAGCCTCGGTTAGCTACACCATGCTAAATTGTTTTAAAGTATTCTATTCTGTGAAAAGCGCCCCACTACTCTCTGCAACAGGGCCTGGTCTCCCAGTGGCAATAACAGTTTGTACCTTTCTAAGGTTTCACTAGCCTATTATAATAACCTGTAACAACGCAAGCTCCTAGCAAACCATGTCTTAGACCCGATCTTAGTGATGCTAAATGGTTGGCCATCTCAACAAGGTATAAAATGCACGTCTGTATACGCTTGCGCTGCGACTAATTCTTGTTTTACGTTTTAAACAAAAAAATGTGTGCAGCTACTCATGACATACTGAGTTTATACTTGAAGCCTGTAACCATTCATAATGCAACTTAAATCTATGTCAATGTTACGCAATGTTTGTTTTCACTGCACTCCAAAAATAAAGAATATATATATAAAAAAAAAACTAATACAGTCCTACTTCACCTAAACATGTTATGTCATTTCAGATTTTAATAAATAATTGTATTGAAATAAAGCCAAAAACATTGTTCTAAAAGTAATTATGATTGGTAATGCACAGGTAAATACAATTATTGTTTTAGCAATGCATTTAGCTTCTGCCTGTTCTGCTTGATATACTTGATAAGTCACAAACTTTTTGAAAAGTTTGGTCTCATTTGTTGCTAAACCTTTATGAAATGTATAATTAAATACAAACATTAACAAAATATTTTAATGCAGGTTCCCTATGGCAGCTGCTAATTACATGATTTCCGTTTTAGCTAGTACGTATAAAGTAATTTGTCTTATATATAAATATCTATATGAAAACATATAACTTTTCAGCAGTTTGTCACTTTGAAAGATGTAAAAAAATAAGGACTTTCTAAATAATTTTCTCCTCACAAATCTTGTTGGTGATTTATAGCATCAGCAAGCTGGGTTTGCTTTTCATTTCTTTCATTTTCTTTCATCAGCACATTTTTTTTCTCAGATATTGTGTCTGAAATGCACAAGTACATTTACTACAAGAAAAGACACTTTTACTGGATTGTAAAGGAGGTTTATGTGAATGCTACGTGCAAGTTTTCTTTCCCTGAGTGACAATATACCTCACCTAAGCAAGACAAGCCTCTACTCAATCGGTGATCAAATGGATATCTTGTTTCTAGAGTTCTTTTTTTTTACATTCACTATCAAACTACCTTTGAAGCATGCATATTGCATATGAATAAGGTTGTTCTCATGTGTAATATTATGACTTTGATTCAGGTACCATTGGTAGTTCTAGAAAGAACTGAGAAAACATTTCCCTTTAAAAAGAATCTTCATCCTTCTTTAAAAATCAATGTCTCCTGAGAGACTACAGTGGTGTGCATTTTTTTAATATCTATATTTTAATAGAAACAAATGGAGATACATATTTTTTTAGTATTCTATTTTTTTTTTATTTTTAAATGACTGTTGTAATTAACAATTAAATAAAAAAAATAAAGCTTACATCTTCAAAATCCTTGTAACACCACAGCCGCACTTTTTGCTTTCATACAATATTATTTAATACTAAGTAATCTAGTTATTGCACAATACTGCCTAGAAAGCAAAAGCTTAAGTTTATTTATTACATTTGCCTTTATAGTGCAGGTCTGATATTGTTCCCTCAAAATCAGGTTAGGTAACCTTAGAGTAAAATGAAATATTTATCAACAAAATATGCTTTACATTCTAACATTTGGTTAAATAAAACTATAAATGCACATTTTTTTTTATCTAATAATCATAATAATATTACATAATCTTTTCAATAAGTTTGTATATTTATGTATGTATTTGTGCATTACTATCACATTTTATCATTCAAATTACATTCTAGCTGTAAGCAAATATATATTTTATTGGTTTATATTAAATATAACTATTTCTTTTTAGAAATGTTTGCTGATAATATACATATAAATTTATATATGGAGAGAAAGAAATAGATAAAATGAGAGAGAGAGAGAGAGAGAGAGGGGCCTGTACATAACAGTGAATTACTTAATATGGGAAAATCTTACAGGGAGTGCAGAATTATTAGGCAAATGAGTATTTTGACCACATCATCCTCTTTATGCATGTTGTCTTACTCCAAGCTGTATAGGCTCGAAAGCCTACTACCAATTAAGCATATTAGGTGATGTGCATCTCTGCAATGAGAAGGGGTGTGGTCTAATGACATCAACACCCTATATCAGGTGTGCATAATTATTAGGCAACTTCCTTTCCTTTGGCAAAATGGGTCAAAAGAAGGACTTGACAGGCTCAGAAAAGTCAAAAATAGTGAAATATCTTGCAGAGGGATGCAGCACTCTTAAAATTGCAAAGCTTCTGAAGCGTGATCATCGAACAATCAAGCGTTTCATTCAAAATAGTCAACAGGGTCGCAAGAAGCGTGTGGAAAAACCAAGGCGCAAAATAACTGCCCATGAACTGAGAAAAGTCAAGCGTGCAGCTGCCACGATGCCACTTGCCACCAGTTTGGCCATATTTCAGAGCTGCAACATCACTGGAGTGCCCAAAAGCACAAGGTATGCAATACTCAGAGACATGGCCAAGGTAAGAAAGGCTGAAAGACGACCACCACTGAACAAGACACACAAGCTGAAACGTCAAGACTGGGCCAAGAAATATCTCAAGACTGATTTTTCTAAGGTTTTATGGACTGATGAAATGAGAGTGAGTCTTGATGGGCCAGATGGATGGGCCCGTGGCTGGATTGGTAAAGGGCAGAGAGCTCCAGTCCGACTCAGACGCCAGCAAGGTGGAGGTGGAGTACTGGTTTGGGCTGGTATCATCAAAGATGAGCTTGTGGGGCCTTTTCGGGTTGAGGATGGAGTCAAGCTCAACTCCCAGTCCTACTGCCAGTTCCTGGAAGACACCTTCTTCAAGCAGTGGTACAGGAAGAAGTCTGCATCCTTCAAGAAAAACATGATTTTCATGCAGGACAATGCTCCATCACACGCGTCCAAGTACTCCACAGCGTGGCTGGCAAGAAAGGGTATAAAAGAAGAAAATCTAATGACATGGCCTCCTTGTTCACCTGATCTGAACCCCATTGAGAACCTGTGGTCCATCATCAAATGTGAGATTTACAAGGAGGGAAAACAGTACACCTCTCTGAACAGTGTCTGGGAGGCTGTGGTTGCTGCTGCACGCAATGTTGATGGTGAACAGATCAAAACACTGACAGAATCCATGGATGGCAGGCTTTTGAGTGTCCTTGCAAAGAAAGGTGGCTATATTGGTCACTGATTTGTTTTTGTTTTGTTTTTGAATGTCAGAAATGTATATTTGTGAATGTTGAGATGTTATATTGGTTTCACTGGTAATAATAAATAATTGAAATGGGTATATATTTGTTTTTTGTTAAGTTGCCTAATAATTATGCACAGTAATAGTCACCTGCACACACAGATATCCCCCTAACATAGCTATAACTAAAAACAAACTATAAACTACTTCCAAAAATATTCAGCTTTGATATTAATGAGTTTTTTGGGTTCATTGAGAACATGGTTGTTGTTCAATAATAAAATTAATCCTCAAAAATACAACTTGCCTAATAATTCTGCACTCCCTGTATTAAACCATGAGACCGAAGGTTGGGTAATATTTAAATGTCTTTAGAACCCCAAGATGCCATATGTTTTACTGAAAGTGTTTGTATAAGTGTTAAGGTAGTGTAGATGTTAAAGGGACACTATAGTCACCTTAACAACTACTGCTTATTGTATTTGTTTTGGTGAGTATAATAATTCCCTTCAGACTTTTGTGCAGTAAACACTATCATTTTTAGCGAAAAGGCAGTGTTTAAATTACAGCCTAGGACCTGCACTGGCCACTCCTCAGATGGCTACTAAAGGTGTTTCCTGGAGTTCAGTGTCTACACCCTCTGCATGGAGACACTGAACTTTCCTCATAGAGATACACTGATTCAATGCATCTCTTTGAGGAGATCCCGATTTGCCATGGCTGTGTTTGGCTTCTCACCCTGCCCCACCTCCTTGGCTGAGGAGTTTTTCAGATTTGACAATCTCAGCCAATCTAATGATTTGCTGTGGGAAAGCATTGTGATTGGCTAAGATCACCACTTCCGATGTCAGCCAAGGAGGCAGATTAGCGCAGAGCCAGCAGCAGCAGACTGGAATAAAGGTAAGTTTTAACTATATTTAAGGGGTAAAGGGGGGTGGGATAGGTGGGCTACATGGTGTTTTTAACACTATAGAGTCAGGAATACATGTTAGTGTTCCTGACCCTATAGCATTCCTTTAATGGTTAATGTTAGAAAAGTGTAAATGTTTATGATTAGAGTTAATGTACTAGTTAGTGCATTATAGTTTAGTGATGTTATAGTGTAGTGTAAGAGTTAATGCTTAGTTATAGTGTTGTGTGTGGTCTTAATGTTTAATTTAGTGTAATGGTTAAGGATATAACTTTACTATAATGGCAGAACTGTGGCACATAAATCAGTGTGTTGCAGAAGATCCCAAGATTAGTGGGAATTACAGTCATAGGTGGAAACCATTTTATCTGCTGTCATTAAACATGTGTCAAATACAAACTCTTATTTGGGACAGATTGGGATAGGTATGTCCCAGTTGAGCCCAATAGTAGGGCCACCAGTCTGCATTAGAGGGAATAATTATGTAGTATGAATACATAGGCAAGTGGGGGCCCTAATATTAAGAATATAGGGGAGACAATATTCCCCCCTCACCTGGTCTCCAGCCATGGGTTGTAAGTGGGGGCTATTAAAACTAAATGAGGGGGGCCTGGTGCCCCACAGCCCCTACCAAGTGGATGTGGGCACTAATTACTTATGAAAGAGGCATGTGAACATGCCATTGTCTATCCCCCAAATAATAATATGACCCCCCCGAAGGCTATAGGTCCCAAATTCCCTAGTTACTCCCTAAAATAATTCTTACTTACTCCCACCCAAAAATAGTGAGGAGGGGCACAATAAACCTATAAAGAAAAAAGTATACTTACAATCTAAACGTCTTCTTTCTTCTAGTTTTTATGTGATTTAGCCACAAAAAAAAGACCAAATAATAAACCATTATAATGACACCATTAATTTAATTAAAAATATTAGGCCTGGGCCCCTGCCTCCCCCTGCCCCCATGAAAAATGCAATAAAATACTAGCCAGCCAATCAGATAGCTCTTACTGATATTGCAATGTGTG